GCCTTTTATACACCTTGGGTAATCACTCTGCGACAGGTAACATTTTTCTCTTGTTACTCTTAAAACCAGCTTTTCTGGGCCTTCTGGGTTTCTTTAAACATATCTTTAAATGGTTGCTTCCTTGTTGCTCAGCTGATGCTCATCATATATGTTCATCTGTGGTAGACATGCTAGATGCTTTGTGTCCAAACAGAGTCATGATTTACTCTTGAGTCTTGGCCTCGGTTTTGTGTTTGTGGTCACAGCACCTGACAAAGTGACTCTCACCTGTAATTATAATTATGGGGACATACTCACCAAATCTCAAATGTTCAGAAAAAGATCATTGACCCTGGGTTGTCCTTCAAGAAGTCTATCTTTATCGTTTTATTTTGATTTTATGGGTAAGATCACAGTTTCCTCACCATTTCCTAGAAAGCTACACATAGAAAGGTGAGTTACACATTAAGAGGAATTCACAGATCTCTCCAGATAATTTTTTTCATGATTCTGTGAGCCCTTCTAAACTGAAGACATTAATATTTGGGGAAACATTTATTTATCACTTAGGAGAGTATGTGCAAAAAAACCCTGCTGCACTCCAATTTAATTTAAAGAAGAAGCTAAAATTTGTAAACAGTAAGGGCAAAGCACCCACAAAACAGTCAAGTGAAATTTATGCTTCCTTATGACAGTCAAAAATTAATGCTATTTGTGATGTGGGAGTCCCCTATGTGTGTTATCATTACCATTAATGAATAAAGAAACTGCCTTGGCCTGTTGTGAGGGCAGAACTTAGGTAAGCAGGGAAGACATAACTGAATGCTGGGAGAAAAAAGGGCGGAGCCAGGGAGACACCATGGGGCCACCAGAGTCAGACATGCTGAATCTTTGCCAGTAAGCCACTGTTACGTGGCAATGTATAGATTAATAGAAATGGGTTAAATTACGATGTAAGAGTTAGCCAATAAGAAGCTAGAGCTAGTGAGCTAAGCAGTGTTTTAAATAATACATTTTCTGCGTGGTTATCGCAGGTGTAAGCTAGCCAGGGGGCGGGAAAAAACAAGCGGACCCTCCTGCTACACTATGTGGTTCATTTGGGCAGTGTTCCTCAAAGGCTTTCAATTTACGTCATTTTATGTTATTAAACCACATGCCCTGCAAAAAGAGTATTGAACCAGAGAACAACAGCTTAATTTACAAAGAGGAGCCAAGGAGACAAAGAGAATCAGGAAATACTATTTTTCTGGTTTGTAATGTTTGCATAGGTTATCAATATGTATTAGTAGGCACAGATGCAACAATTTAGGAGAACTCGTAGCAAATACACAGTTAAAGTTATTCCTCGTAGTCAACAAAAAAGCAATGTAATTTTCCTGCTAAGTGTTTCGGATTGCATGAGGGGACATGATGAAAGAGGAGTGGCCCAAAGTCATTTTTGTTTCTTGTGGTAGGCTTATTGAACCTATGCCTATGAGTACAGGCACAAAGTTGGCTTTTATGAGATGGGGATACTGTTCTGGACAGAGGTAAGATTACGTTGGAATATTACACATCCCAATTTCAGTAAAGATGTATGATCTCTGGTAATCATGGTGATAGTCATGAAGTTGAAAACGGTTACGTGTAATCACTGAATACTGGAAAGAAAAGCTAATAACTTATCTTTTGACCACTTAATATTTGAGGTGTAGAAGCCAATACTCTTTTCAATACAAGTATCACAAGCTCGTTTCGTTCCTGGAAGGTTATAAAGAAAGAGTGCAATTATCTGCTTCGTCTTTTGTTCTAGTGCATGAAGCTGTGTGGTATCAACAGGATTAGCTAATTAAAGAGAGGAGTTAAATAACAGAGCCTTTCAGTCTCAGAGTCCTAGACCAGAGCATTTGTGCTGCGGTAGGAATGACTTCATTTTCCTCAGCATCAATTGGTGAAAGAGCAGCGTGTTCCGGGAACAAATAAATTCGTAGAGGTTAAATGAGCATTTGTACTCAGAGGGAAGAGCTGGTATGACAGTCCCCTCTCCCTTTCCTAGATCAGTTCTTTTCATTTCATAACACGCTGATTTCCAGGTCCAGAGAGTACCAACCAGTAAAGCTCTTTGTGTACCGCCTTTATTTTAAATACTTTTTTTTTTTTAGCAGGTCAGGAATACAAACATGAGGCGTTGGATAGAATGTACTACCGACAAGAATCCAAAACACAAAGAGAAGAAGCATAAAAATGGTAAAAATCCTTTCAAGCATTTTTAGACCGTAAAAGTTTAGCCCAGACTTGAAATCAGTCACATTTACTTTCTAGTTGTTTCTTGTCTCCCATTTTAAATTTAATGTGCCTTCTGGTTTTCTGTGTTCGTCATCTTCATTGTGTATTTCTCTCTCTTTCTCTGTTTGTGTGAACACATGTGTTCAGGATTTTGTGTATGCACATGAATATGAAAGCCAGAACTCAACCTCGTCTTTTTTTCCGAGACAGAGTCCCTCGTGGGGTCCTGGGGTTTGCTGATCAGACTGTACCTACCCCAGTACTGGGATTACAAGTCTGTACTACCATACTATCATGTTTCACCTTGCCATGGGTGATGAACTTTGAACTCTTATTCTCATTCTTGTATGGCAAACATTTTTACTGAGTGAGCCATCTCCTTTTTGCCTTCATGAAAAAAGTACCACAGATCAACTTCTGTCATGTCAATATGGACTAAAGGCTTTAAATGGCTTAAGTAAGCTCCTTAGCGCTTACTTACCAATGCCATAGGCTGCTAGGCAAAACATATTGAGTCTCTACCTAGTCCTTCTACTGTTGCTCTGATAGACCCAGTGCTCCAGCCAAAATGTACGGATGACCCTTGAGTTACTTCCCTCCGTACTTTTGTCTATACTGTTTCCACCAATGAGAAAGCTGCTCTCCTAGTCTGGGCAACAAAACCTTACCTCATATAAGATACTAACATTTTCCAAACTTTCTGATTCTTTCCGAAAATAGTAATGTCTTTGTGGATACTATGTGATAATATGTACACTTTTATTTCTCATATTCTATTTAATTGCATCAAGATAGATATGATTCATCTCCCCAGAGGCTTTTAATGTAAGAAAAAAAATTTAAGTAATTTAAGCTGGAGGGGTTGCTCAGTGGTTAGGAGCACTGACTGCTCTTCCGGAGGACCCGGCTTCAGCTCCCAGCACTGGCAGGGCAACACATCACCACCTCTAACTCCAGTTCCAGGGAATCCCATGCCCTCTTCTGACCTTCTGACAGGCACACACATGGTGAACAGGCAAACACACATGCAAAACACCCAAACACATGAAATAAAATTAGTTTAAAAAGAGGAAAAGGACATATTTTAGTTTTTCTTTTTCTTTATGATTATTACATGTATTCATGTGTTACTTGTGTGTGTATGCTTTAGAGATGACCACTTGGTATTGGATGAGCAGCAATCTGTGTATGGGGAAGATTTTGATTCTCTTTTAGTAGCAGCCATTAACTGCATACGACTTTCCATCGAGGGGTGTGAACTTGTGAGATTTCAAAGGGGGAAATCTTGAAACCTCAACTGAATGTTTCTCGCAGTCTGTGAAGTCTGTGACTTGCAGGTGGTAAGCAATAAAAATTTCTTTGAGCCAGATGGTGGCGCACGCCTTTAACCCCAGCATTCAGAAGACAGAGCAGGCAGATCTCTGTGAGTTCGATACCAGCCTGGTCTACAGAGTGAGTTCCAGGACAGGCTCCAAAGCTACACAGAGAAGCCCTGTCTCAAAAAACAAAAACAAAAACATTTTCTTTGAGATTTAATTTTAAAAAAACAAATTTGAAGAAAACAGACTCCTCTCCTGTGGTTGGTGGTCCATGCTCCAGTGAAAGACCCGCTACCTATGCAAATACATGTAGCACGGATTGGACTCAGTGGGTTAACAAAAAGGAGGCATGAAGTTGTTAGAGGGTAATGGTTGGGGGAGGGGAGGATGGTCTGGAAGGAGTTGAAGGGGGATTGTGGGAGATAGACCTAATCAGCATGAGTTGTAAATGTGTAGCAAGTCCTCAAAGAATATATTAAAATCATTTAAAAGGCACAAGTAAGTAAGAGCAAAGTAATGATTTGTGAAACCAAAGAAGAGAAATTTATTAAAATAATAAACATGTTCAAAGACTTTAGACCCAAGAAGGAAAGAAGGACAAAGATTGTTACAAAGAGTTGCACGAGTCTTAATAGAAGGCTCCAGGCCTCCATTCACGAGCTGGTCTATTTAGGGCATCGGTGCCTCAGGGCAGGAGGTTAGAGAGAGAAATAGGAGCATGACTATTTTCCACAGGGTGGCTGTTTGCCCCAGGTGCTCAGCTCACTGCTCACCAGCAGGTGTTGCAGGGGGAGGTCCTGCAGGTGGTGCGGCAGGGGGCAGGCTGGCAGCAGGGGGGCCTGCAGCAGGGAGCCTGCACAGAGATGGGCTGGCAGCAGGTGGAGGCCCAGCAGCAGGGTCTGCAGACCACAGCTGTGCAAGAGGTGGGGCAGCAGGTGATGGGGCGGCAGCAGCCCTGCTGCAGGCTGCAGGGGTCACAGCAGATGGGGCGGGGGCAGGGCTCACAGATGGGCCTGGTGAAGTGGGGCACGCAGGTCACAGGGCGGCACACTGTGGTCTGGCAGGATACTGGGCGGCAGCAGCAGGGGTCGCGGCAGCAGCAGGGCTGGCAGCAGCCTCCACAGCTCTGGGAGGAGAAGGAGCCACAGCAGGAGCCGGTCATGGTGGGTGTCTGGTCTGGAGTAGGGCTGAGGAGTGGAGAGCAGTTGGGTGTTCTCAGGTGTGATGTGCCCTCTGGGTTGGGTCCCTTTATATACCTGGCCAGTGCTGATGACCCCTCTTGTTTATCTTTCGACTGATTAAGTCAACGTCTGTTTGACTAATGGTTGAGTCATGATCTCATTAAATGATTCCTATTAAATCCTTAAATATGAACATCTTATACACACTGTTCATTGCAAAAACTTGAAAATCACAGCCATGAGATGACAGAGTGCGATTTGACAGAAAATGAATTCTCGGGTTTATGGAGATGAGCGTGAGGTTGTGGTCACCCGCCGTGTATTCGTCCATTCCGGAGGCAGGTTCCCATCATCACCTCAGACTTTTAACATTCCACTGGGCTGAAACATTCCTAGCTCTGCCTTCTAGTTTTGATTATACAATATTGTTAACTGCAGTCACCCTTTGTGTAATGGAACACCAGGACTTTCTTATCCGACCTGTGGACCTGTCTTCCCTGGCTCCTCCCACCGTCTCTTGGCCTCATTTCAATTATCAGCCTTAAGATAAATCTGGAGCAAATGGCCATGGCAGAACTCAGTTTTCAACATAATTGAGTATAGTGAGGTACGCAGATCCTTGACTGGATTCTATGCCGGAAGCACCTAATGAAACAGGCACTAGACGTGTTGTTCTAGGGGATTCATTAGGAATACATTTATTTACCACTAAGTATAAGATTCTATAAATCCTCTTGTCAGAGCAGCAGCTCATACACAGAATAATTAAAAAGGTAATTTTTAGATGCGTTTGATTTTATTTTCTATGCATGAGTGTTTTGCCTATGTGTACATATGTACCATGTACATGCCTCGTGCTCTCAGAGGTCAGAAGAGGGCGTTGGGTGCCCTGGAACTGGAGTTACAGACAGCTGTGAGTCACCACATGGGTGCTGGGAATCGAACCTGGGTCTTCTGCTCATAGTAAGTGCTCTTAAATATTGAGTTATCTCTGTAGTCTTCCAAAGTTCATTTTTTTGTAAATGTTATTATTGTATTGTATTAATATATTGTAAATGTATTAAAAGAAAGCCTCTAAAGTCACTGTGCATCTTTCTTCTCTTTAGTTCAGGACGTGTCCAGCTCTGATGCTTCTGGTCACAGGGAACTAATTTTTATCGATAAATCAGATTTTGTTCGAGGCAGGACCCATTATGTAGCCCAGGCTAGTCTCGAACTCATGATCTTCTTGCCTCCAGCTGCCCAAATGCTGGGATTACAGATATACACCATCATGCCTAACTGGAAATGTGGCTTTTGTATGTATGTGTTAGTGTATATATGAGTATATGTGTTCACACGTGTGTATGAATGTGTAGGTGTACATATGGAAGCCACATGTCCAGTCAATGGGCCCATGTTTCCCGCTTTGTGCTTCCCCTTACTTTTGGAGACACGATCTCTTACCTGAACCTGAAGCTCACTAATTCAGACAAATTGCCTGACCAGCAAACTTCACAGGTCCACCTGTCCCTACCTCCTCATAAAACTGGGGTTACAGGTACATAGTTTTTATATCGGTGCCGGAGGTCCAAACTCATGTTGATGCTTGTGTGACAAGCATTTTACTTACCGAGCCATCTCCCCAGCCCAAATGCTGTGGGAGATTCCCCATGACTGTCATCAAGCGAAATGATGGAAGCTTCCTTACTCTAGACTACAAGGGTATTCAATATAGCTGTTGTGGGGCACACAGGAAGGGTGCCCTACATTTGCAATTCTGTGTCTCTGCTCAAGACACACTGGGCATGCTTCTTCAGGAAGGGCCTTCTTACTTCCCTGCTTTGCAAACCCTCCTATAACTTCACAGGCAGCATGTAGATTATTTTAGAATGTCTGCCCGCCTCCACCCTGCCACACACACTAATGTGCCTCGGGCTCCAGGATCTAAAGTCACCTTAGTGGTAATTAAAACATAATTTTGCTACTTTTAAAGGAACTGTAGTGCCGTTGGTAGCATGCTTGCCTAGAGCTTACCAAACCCAGGGCTACATATACGAGGCATAGTGGTACACAGCTATATCCCAGTACATGGAGAGTGGAGACTATAGGATCTGGAGAACAGAGTAATCTTCAGCTACACAGCACGTTCAAAGTCAGCATGGGCTATGTGAGACACTACCTCAAAATAAGAAAAAAAAACCCAACCAAACAAAAGAAGCGATGTGGATTCACTGAGTGTGATACCACAACCTGGGAGATAGAGGGAGAGATGTAGACACGGCTCATGGATAACAATGCTTCACATGTTTCAGGTTCTTTCTTTTGCTCATAGACATGATATGTCTTCTTCTTCCTCTTCTTTTTCTTCTCCTCCTCCTTCTTCCTCTTCTTTCCTCCTCTTCCTCCTTCTCAAATCAGTAACCTAAATAAACAGTTAAATATTTGGTGCATATTGATAATCAGATTTCATGTTGCTGTGGAATCTCACGGTTAAACTTTTTCCTTTTGCAATGGGAATCTCCTCCAAAGACACAAAGTACCAACTTAGCAAGACGAATCTGCTACATATGCTCCTCATCAGTTGTCCCATAGGAACTTTTTCTGACTCTTATATAAAGACCCACAGGGATAGAGTCTGAGAATAGCTCAGTAAACTCTTCAGATGTTTGTCTACTGTAGCATACTTATCCTGGCTCCCTAGTCCATCCTCATTATCAGAGAGGACATATGCGCTCCTGTTCCCATTATCCATCACTCAGGGCTGTGAGGACTCAACTGCTTGCTCTGGTACTGGCATCGGAACGGTTGCAGTTTTCTGAACCCACTTATCCTGTAACACTCAACACTCACATGAGGCTCTGCCACTCACTGGCTTTGCGTCCTTGGGTCATATAATTGACAATCTGAATTGTCATGAGGATTAAATGAGCTCATTCTTGTCCAAGGACTAAGCAAAGCCACACTTAGTGTCTTATTTTTGTTAGACGAATGTTGGAGGGTGCTGCTTGTTGGTTCCCAGCCGCCCGACTGCTCAGCCCTGAAATAATCACACAGAAACTGTATTAATTAAATCACCGCTTGGCCCATTAACTCTAGCTTCTTATTGGCTAACTCATATTAATTTAACTTATTCCTATTAATCTGTTTATTGCCACGTGGTTGTGGCTTACTGGTAAAGTTCCCAGCATCTATCTCCAGCGGCTCCATGTCTTCTTTCTGACTCTACCCTTCTTCCTCCCAGCATTCAGCTTAGTTTTTCCTGCCTACCCAACTTCTGCCCTGCTACAGGTCCAAAGCAGTTTCTTTATTCATTAATGGTAATCACAGCATACAGAGGGAAATTCCACACCCAATGAATAAATGTATTTTAGCTGGCTTTGCTGGCTTGTAATCTAAGTACTCAGGGTGCTGAAGCATGAGTGTTTTAGTCTGAGGAGAGTCTGAACTGTGAAGTGAGATGCTATCTAAAAAAAAAAAGGTATTTTCAAAGATTATATTATTGGGAAGGGAGATTATTTAATGGGTAAAGTGCTTCATTTAGTCAAAATCAGAACCTTGGATAAATTCCCAGAATTCATATTTTTAAAAGGAAGGTGTGGTGGTATATGGTCATAATCCTGTTCCAGGGAGGAAGGGACAGACAGACCCCCTGGGTTACCTGGCCAGCCAGGTTACCTAAACCAGTGCTGGATCATACCAAAGAAGTGACACCCTTCCCCCCCAAAGAAGTGACATTCAAGGTTGCTTTCTGGCCTGCGCATGCGTGGACACACAGGTGCCTCACATGTTCATGCCCCTCATAAACATGCACACACACACAGGTTATATGACTTGATAAATAATAGACTTTAAAATTTGAACTTAGAACGAAGTTAGCATGTTTGATATGGGCCAGTTCTCTGCTCAGCCACCACAGTGTGCACATCAAACACGACGAATATTTCGAGATGGATTTTCTTAATATCATCAAACAACATGGAAGCACCTGTAAGGAAGATGCAGCACTCTTTCTAGGTCATTGGTCAGGGGACCCAGACTGCTGCTGAGTGGACAGGGCACGTGTGTGGGAGAGCTGTGCACGGTATGTGTTACTGTAACTCCCAGCCCAGCAACGGACTGGGGTCCTAAGACAAAGTCTTTAAAATATGTTTAGAAAGAATTTAGAAAGTTTCCTACTGGTGGTGGGCAAATCTTAGGACTTCATTTAACACTACCGTTCAGCGTCAGCATTGTGAACACATTTTGTGTGGGAAATATTTTCTTTTGTTCTCAAATTCCTGATTATTCACACAGATGGATAAGAACAATAGTGAATACGTATAGCATGAATAACTAACAATGTACCAAACTCTTAATTTGGAGCATATTAATGCAGATAGTTTATACAGTTGAGATGATCTCCAAGTGTTAAAAGATAAATTCAATGTTTTATAATCTGGTTACATTTTTAAAATATCAGAGAACCCCACCATATCAAGTGCTACCCCTGCTTTCTTTAACAATTCAAATCACTGCTTTAGATTCAATTAAACTTTGATAAAAAGGTAAGTTTTGAAATCAGGACATATTGGAAAGGGGACTGAAGTGTTTTCTCTAAAACAGTAACATTTTCTTAAAAAAACTTAACTTTTTTAGTTTGCACACAGGAAATGGGGCCCATTGTGGAATTTTCATATATATCAATTTATTTTATTTATTATATACTTTGCTCTAACTACAGTCTTTCCTCTCCCATTCAAATAGTTCCCTCTCTTGATGTCATAACATATAAATTCTATTCTCTATTCTCCTTTATCCCCATAATGGCTTTTAGATACTGTATTTCATAGTAAAAACACATGCTTACTTAAAAATTATATAATTAAGAAAATCTAAAGAAGAAACTGAATACTATCATCGACTATGAGTAGATTTTGTATAATATTACAACTTTGGCACAAACGGATATAGTTTATTTAAGAAAATTTTTTCTCACAAAGCGGCTTCATATAGTAAAGCTTTCTTTATAATATGAATCTGTTATGCACAGTCACGTAGTATTTCATAGTAGGTTTATCATCTTTATTTATTTAAATCATGTGTTACTGCTCTCTCCCAAGCTCCCCCCACGACAACACACACACACACACACACACACACACACACACACACACACACACTTGCCTTTGTCCCTTCGAGCAGCAGCGGAAGAATGACAGGGTCTCAGGGTTTCATACAGCCCAGGCAGACCTCAAACTCTGTAGCCAACATTGACTTCGAACCCCTGATTGTCTTGTTTCCATTTCCATAGTGCTGGGACTGCAGCTGTGTACCACCATGCCTGGTTTCTCCCCCGCCACACACTGGTCAGGATTTTGATATATAGCCCAGATTATCCTCAAAGTTGTGGTGATCTTTCTGCCTTGACATCCCAAGCTCTGGGATCTTGAGCCTGGACAACCCTGCCCAGGTGGTTTTGTTAATTCTTTATATTTATGCTACTTGTGGTATGCAGTTTGACAGTTAATTTATTTGTGTATCACCCCCTATGCACAGTATATGCACTTTCAAGCACGGTCCCTTGTCTTATTCTGGATATACTCTTCGGTGTAGTGAACTCAAGGCCTCGATTATAGCAGATGTACAATAAAGACATGCCAATTGACAGTGATTGATCTGCTTGAAAAATATCAATACCATGCAATTTCTGAGCACAAAGGTAAGCAGCCTTGAAAGGTTGCTGAAGACTTAATATCCATAGGAGCTGGCACTGACACTAACATTCTAAAGGTCACATAGAAGCACATTAGAAGGAGATTGCTTACTGAAAGCAGCAGTCACACTGGCAACAACAAAAGAGACGTAGTGACTTATGCAGAGAGAATAGGCTTCTATCATGCCTAGGATAAGTGTTGACTTCAAGGTTGAAGTTTGGGAATTGTCTGTCCTCTGGGGATAATTTGTTGACATCTATAATATACTTACATTTTATCCCTATAAATAGCCAACTTATTCCGCATCCATTAGCCTTATTTTGTCTAATGATTCACCAGATGCAGCCTGGGGTTTCTCTCATCTCTGCTTTGCAGACTTTCATGACATCCCAAAATCTGTCCACTCAGGAAACAAGAGACAAGTCACCAGCCTGGGCATGCAGGTGTCCCCTGGACACAGCTGCCTAACAGGCCGATGAGGGTGGAATTTGGATTATGTGATGAACAGGTGGGGACTAACTGCCACCATTCTGATCTAACCCAAGTGACACTTTAAAATGTTCCAAGAGAACAACTCAGACCTTAGTCTTTTCTCAGAACAATTTAAGATTATTCTCTGTCTTATATTGAAAACAAGTCTCTGGTGATTGAGACCACAGACCAAAGGAAATGATCACAACACCCATAATTTCTGAGCTGAGAATGTTGAGTTTATTAGAAAACAGACAGTATGATGTAAGTAGTAGATCACAGTTCAAAGAGGGTGCAGTGTTCCTTATCAGAAGAGGGTCCCAAAAGGTATCATCCTTGTATGGGTTGAATCAACTTGAAGAACATACTTGTCAAGAAAAAGCAATGTTTTTTTTTTAAAATGATGTCCTCAGTGGCAGCAGCATGAATCTGGCCATCTCCTGGGGTCTTTAATGCTAAGGTTAATTGGGCTCAGCAGCAGGTGTTGCAGGGGGAGGTCCTGCAGGTGGTGCGGCAGGGGGCAGGCTGGCAGCAGGGGGGCCTGCAGCAGGGAGCCTGCACAGAGATGGGCTGGCAGCAGGTGGAGGCCCAGCAGCAGGGTCTGCAGACCACAGCTGTGCAAGAGGTGGGGCAGCAGGTGATGGGGCGGCAGCAGCCCTGCTGCAGGCTGCAGGGGTCACAGCAGATGGGGCGGGGGCAGGGCTCACAGATGGGCCTGGTGAAGTGGGGCACGCAGGTCACAGGGCGGCACACTGTGGTCTGGCAGGACACTGGGCGGCAGCAGCAGGGGTCGCGGCAGCAGCAGGGCTGGCAGCAGCCTCCACAGCTCTGGGAGGAGAAGGAGCCACAGCAGGAGCCGGTCATGGTGGGTGTCTGGGCTGGAGTAGGGCTGAGGAGTGGAGAGCAGTTGGGTGTTCTCAGGTGTGATGTGCCCTCTGGGTTGGGTCCCTTTATATACCTGGCCATGCTGATGATCCTAAGGACACAAGGCCATTTCCTTGTTTTGGTTTATTTCTTCTGCAATGTCATTGGTGCGTTAGTTAGTTCTCTTGACATGTTTTAGGTGCTCAAGTCCTTGTAAAAGATGATTCGTATCACTGATTTAATGGCAACTCATTATATTTTGCTATTTATGGTTCAAATATGAACTTAATGGCCCTAGCTTCAAAGTCGCCAATTATCTTCATAGTTTGATGATGCTTTTGCCAGTTGGTGTTTTGGTGGCAACAGAGCAGCCATGCCCTTGGGGTTAGTTGCAAACAGTGGCAGTGAAATCAGCAAATCGCTGTGTAGTTCCTTCTCTACTGCTCACGACGAAACAAGGCAAGAATGCTGTACGAATACGTCAAAATACATTAATAAGAAAGGAATTTTTCATCTCCTTCAGGAGTTTCAGGAACACGTCTTAATAGGCCTGCGTCTTCAGCGGCTTTTGCCTTAGTTACACATTCCCTGATTTCAGGGTCTTCACCTTTCTATGTCAAGGGGAAGTCTATTGCTTTCTGTCTTTACTTAGTACCACTGAATTCCAACTGTTTCAACCATCATGCTTAATTAAATAAATGGATCAATTTATTTTAATAAATTCATACAAGGTAGAGATTATTTTCAATTTTTTTCAATTTCCCTGTACCAGACTAAGTAAGTTGCTTTCTTAATGCCATGTATTTGTAGATGTGGCAGCCAATACTCAGACCCCAAATATGTGTCACAGTATTGCTTATGAGTCCAATGAACTGCAGAATGAATGATGAGGCCTACATGACCAGAAAATTATCGAATATTTACTTTGTTTAGAAATTTTAATGATATATTACTTTCACAACTGTTATATGTGACATTTTAGAGCCATCTACATGCATTCTGTCTCTTACCAAATATCTCCAAGAAGTGGAAGAATTGAGTCCCACATAATTTAGGAATTCTAAAAATTCCTCAAATATGCCTCCAAAGAACTTGAGCATAATTAAATAGTCATGGGACACTCTGAACAAAGCCACCCCAAATGCGAGGAAGTCAAAGAACCTGAACCCATCCAGGGAGGCTTCCATCCCTCAGTGTAACAGTGCTAGATAGTTCCAAGACAAATGGGCTTTGGTCCTATCTTGTCTGTGTCTAGTATTGCCAATACCTCCCTGTGTATTAGGCTTCATCAAGTTCATTTCCACCAACAGAATCACCTGTGATGTTCAATTCCTTCAAACTATCAGACGTTATAGAAGAACGGCATCACTCTTTTGTAGCCCTTGTGTCTGGCCTTTCTCGACAATGACTTCTGTTCTAGATCTGTGGCCGAAGGCCCCCATTCACGCCTTTTCTTTCATCATGCTGGTTGCCTAGCTCCATATAAGGTTACCTAGCTCTATAGAAGCCACTTTAGCTGACCAGGGCTGAGAATCATTGTGGAAACTAACAAGCATCAGCAACAATAAAGTGCTTGGAAGAAAACAAAATGTTATCTCTCTGAGAAAATGCAGTAAGATCAAAGAATGTTTCTAGAAGTCTGAGATGGAAAATGGTGAGGGAAGAAAAGCAGAGGTAGTTAGAGATTCTTTTCTTTTTAAGTGAGGAGCAAAGAGACACACAGAGAAATTTGACTCACAGAGGGAGAGATACAGCTCAGTGGTAGATCACTTTCTTAGTGTTCCTAAGCTCCATCCCTAGCATTGCAAAGCAAAGAAATGGGATTTGTTAACCGAAGGTCTGATGAGAAACAACGGTCACTGTACACATACTAAAGATGTACTGCTATCAGATGGTCCCTAAAGGTTCCTAGCCACAGAACACTCTGTACACATGGCTTCCTGTTGAGACAGTGTGCGATGAACCTGTTTGGCGTTATAGAAAGTACACATCTAAAAAATGAAGTGAGTGGGGCTAGAGAGATGATGTTTTCTCTCCTCGCCTCCTTGGTGCTTATTTATTCTCAATACCATCTATTCTATTCTATGTGCCAAATATTATGCTGATGAATCAAAACCCAATTTTGAACAAAACCAGTCCAGTTCCTCCCCTTCACATTCAAAAGACTCATTTAGATTAGATTCTAGAGACTCAAACAGTTTATGGCACAATGTTTAGCCCTTGTTTTATAATTCATTTGTGCCCGTCCTTTCTCTATAATGACTTATGTGGTAGAGAGCTTTATTCAAGAAAAAAAAGGAATAAATAAAATAAAACCAAAATGAACAAACGAATGAGCAAAACACAGAAGTCTTCCTTATTGTCCTGACAGATATCTAACAGCAGGAAGCCGTCCCACAAGGATTAATGTGAGCATCATGTCACTCACAGTGGCACTATTTCAGTGACTGTATGTGGGGTTCTAATCAAGGCTGTAGTTTTGGCCTTCTCATCAGCATCCGCATTGGAAACCTAAGTGCCATAGTGGTCCTGACTCGGGAGATGACGGAGTGGCTGATCTGGTAAACACAGAGGAATTCCGTGGTGAGGGTGCTCCTGGGTTCTAGTTAATATGATCATTGCATAGCTTTCTATGATGGGAAGCAAATGGGGCTGCAGCTTGAGTTTTCTTCCTTTTCTTATGTGTATATGCGAAAATATTAACGGACCACTCATAAGTCAAATTCACAAAGCTCTGAATCAGTGTTTCTGTCCCTTCACCACAAAATTCTGTGTCTTTAAATACAAAAGCCCATCAGCCAAATTATCTGAAACATTTGAATTCTTTTTACAATCACAGATGATGCACCGCAGAAGCTCTGGCGGGGAGAGTTCAAAGTGCGTCCTTTAGAAACATTTGCCCTAGATTCTTCTCATTCTGAACACTGCAATTTATTCCGCAAATGAGGTTGTGAATATCAAGAAAGAATACAAAAAGCATATGTGCTTCACCAGGAATAAAGTTTTATTTTTTTAATCATGCAAAATCATAGGCTAAAACTATCATGCTGAAAATATATTCAATCTGAACCCTGAAATAGAAAATTACAGGAACTCAATGGGATCAAGCTTTGTTAAAGAGCTTCATCTTTGTTTAGAGATGTTTTTGAGGCCAAGAATTAAGCTGATGGGAGCTAGGATGGGTCTAGAGGCATGCAGATGACCAGCTGCATGTATGTGGGAAATTTGATAGTTGTGGAAGAACAAGATGGTTGTAAAGGTGGCGTCTCTTGTCCGCTCCAGCAGGAGTAGGGAGAGTTCTGTTCATCTGAAAAGTTGTGTATTAGATGGCTCAGCAGCAGGTGTTGCAGGGGGAGGTCCTGCAGGTGGTGCGGCAGGGGGCAGGCTGGCAGCAGGGGGGCCTGCAGCAGGGAGCCTGCACAGAGATGGGCTGGCAGCAGGTGGAAGCCCAGCAGCAGGGTCTGCAGACCACAGCTGTGCAAGAGGTGGGGCAGCAGGTGATGGGGCGGCAGCAGCCCTGCTGCAGGCTGCAGGGGTCACAGCAGATGGGGCGGGGGCAGGGCTCACAGATGGGCCTGGTGAAGTGGGGCACGCAGGTCACAGGGCGGCACACTGTGGTCTGGCAGGACACTGGGCGGCAGCAGCAGGGGTCGCGGCAGCAGCAGGGCTGGCAGCAGCCTCCACAGCTCTGGGAGGAGAAGGAGCCACAGCAGGAGCCGGTCATGGTGGGTGTCTGGGCTGGAGTAGG